GGGGGGGGGGGAGGGGGGGAGGCGCAGGGGGCGATGAGCCGGGGGGGGGGCCAAGCGCGCGACTGACGCTGCGCAGCCAGGCGGGCGCGCCTCGCAGGCTCCGCGCTCCCGGCGCCCAGCCCAGCCCAGTTCAGCCCGGGTGCGCCATCGGCGCGGCCCGGCCCAGCCCCGCGCGCCAGCCTGGCAGCCGCCGCCCAGGCAAGGCAGCTAGCTCACTTGTTGTAGCCGCCGCACAGGCCGCGGTCGCCGGTGACCACCACCAGGGCCACAGACTTGACGGGGCGCTGGGCCACCAGCGGGGAGTCCACGTCCTCCACCCGCAGGCGCTGGTTCACGCCGTACAACACCTGCGCAGAGGCGGGAAGGGGGGGCGGGGCCAGGCGCGCGGCAGCGGCGGAGGGTGAGGTGGGCGAGGCGGGTGGGGTGGGTGGGTGAGCGCGGCGGGCGGCCGGATGTTTTTCCGAGCTGCCTCGCCGTGTTGGCGGCTGTGCTGCAGACTGGCAGCCCGCCAGCGGAAGGGCCGCTTGCTCTCCGCAAGCTCAAGTAGGTATGCTGGCAGTGGCACAGTGGCAGCACCGAGCCAGTCGAGCTGCATTGCTGCCGCTGGTGCGGCATGGCAAGCCGTGGCGCTGGCTGCGTCGCTGGTTGCAACAGGTCCCTGACAGACAGGCTCCCGACCAGGCTGCCGCTGGCGGCAGCATCCCCGCCGGCACGAGAGCGGGCCCACCCTCGGTCGAAGCCGGGCCACTGCCGCGGCGTTGCCAAAGCAGGCGCACCGATGCAAACAGCTGCCGCCATCTGGCCCACCCACCAACCATCGGCAGCGGCATCAGCAGGCGCCAGGCCAGCGGCAGGCAGCACCCACCTTGACCAGGTTCTCGGCAAAGGGGCGGCCATTGACGACGGCCTCCTGCGCGCGCCGGACCTTGGCGGCCGCCACCAGCTTCATCGCCTCCGTGATCTTCTTGGTGTTGGACACGGAGCCGATGCGGTCACGCACCTCCTTGATGGACACGTTCATGACCTGCAAACCACAGCAGCAGGCGGTGGGAGGGCAACCTGGGTGCCGCTGCTGAGCCCACGGCAGCGCTCCGCTGCGCTGACAGCCCCTTGGCCGCGGCAGCCGCCCGGAGGTCAACTGGGGCATCCCTGAGGCCTGGCAACACGCCCCAGGCCTTGCGATCGACACCAGTTCGCTGCTGCAAGGGCTGGGAGGTGGCGCAAGCCACGCTAGCCCGCTCGCTCTCCTGCCGATCCTAGCACATTTACCGACCTGCAGCTGCCCCCGCGAGGTGGCGCCCTGCCTCTTGCCGGTGAAGACAGCAGCATTGCTGACACACGCCTTCGAGCTCAGGGCCTGCATATTCGCCGCCACAACTCCTCACAGGCCACTGGCTGGTGTGAAGTCACTTGGAGGGGAGTGCAGGGGTGCGGACGGCGGAGTTGAGGGGGTAGGAGCCCGGGTCACAAGAGGAACATGGCACGCCACGCGGCTTTTGCGGCAACGGCTGTGCAAGCGTCGGTCGTCGATGTTTGCGCAGCACGTTCGCCATCTTTCACACACACCTCCACGTAGCCCCTGGCTGCTGTTGCAGTAATGGTCTCACATGTGTGCGAGCCCAGCCCCTGTTTTCCGTTTTCGCCAATGCTCAGATGTCAGGAGCGTGCCGAAACATGCAACCATGACCGCTGCAAGTTGCAGTGCGCCGCCCCTCACTACGCCGCCGCAAGCGACACCCAGGCTCCTCGCAGCAGGAGAAGCCTGCTTCTGCTGGATTCCTGCTTACAGTCGTCCTCTAGCGTGGAGTGGGAGTGGTACATTATAATACAGAGGAGCGGGCGCAGAATGGCGCAGGTGGTGGGAACAACAAAGCGCAAACCACATTGGCGGCGGCGGTGGTGGTACAGGCACAACAGAGGCACAGAGGAGCAGCAGTTTAGAGTACACCAGGCGTGGGATGGGCACAAAGTGGGATTGGCACAAAGTGATGGATATTGGGGAAACAAAAGTGTTGCGGTTTGAAGGGCGCGGGGGTCGTGCTGTCTGATATGAATGTGATGAGTGGTGCATGCAAAAAGAATGCGGGCCTTTATTGCGGGGCACGAAATGCAGTGCGATGTGAATGCTGAATGCGCGGGGGGGGGTACAAGGGTACTAGCAGAACGGTGGGAGCGACACAAGCAGCGGAGGCCTGCCGCAGCCGCATCAGTACCCCTGGATGGCTGCGGGCATCGCCGCAGCAGGGCCGCCGGCGCGCCGCGCCAGGCGCAGCAGCACCAGGCGGCGCTGCAGGAGGCGCAGAGCGCCGCCGCCCAGCTGCGGGCAGCGGTCGACGCTCAGGTGGCGCAGGCTGGGGCAGCGCACCAGCGCCATCAGCCCGCGCTCGGTCACCTTGCCGCAGCTGTTCAGGCTCAGCGCTGTCAGCTGGGACGCGTGGCTCAGGGCCTGCAAGGGCAGAGGCGCGCACCCGACACACCCTCAGCGCCAGAGGCAAACCAGTCGGCACCAACAGAACCGCACGCGGCTGTGCTGTGCTTGGCAGAGGCACCGACGACACGTCGCGTCAGCGCGTCGCCGTTCATGCACAAACACCACAAACACCTGCAAGCAGCCGTCGTCCAGGCGCTTGTTGTTGGAGGCGTCCAGCGCCCGCAGCGCGGGCAGCTCGGTGAGCAGCATCATGCAGGGAGGGTGCACCGCGCGCAGGCAGTCCACCAGCACCAGGCTGGACAGGCGGCGCAGCGGGCGCAGGTGCGCCAGGCCCGCGGCCGTCACGGATGAGTAGCTGAGGTCCAGGTGCTCCAGCGAGGCGCAACGTCCCAAAGCGCGCAGACCCTGCAGCACAGCGGGCACGGCGCGCGGCGCCCCGCCTCAGCGCACGTGCTGGGCATGGCGGCCAGCCGCCGCCGGCCTCCCCACATCCAGGGAGCCTGCTGCTCGCTGCTGGCCCTGCCCCCGCGCCGCCGCCAGCGCACCTCGTCGCTCAAGCGGTTGCACTTGCGTACGATGCAGCTGGCCAGGCGCGGCAGGCGAGCGGCGTGGGCCAGCGCACGGTCTGTCAGCTCACCACAGAAGCTGTGGGCAGGGGTGCGGTGAAGGGGGCGGTGAGGGGCCCCGTTTGAGTGCGGCAGGCGGGCACAGCAGCACCAACACAACACAAGAACTACTGTCAAGTGGTATGCGCCGAGACGCAAGCAGCAGGCACGGCCCCCCAGCGCTCGCCCCCTCACGCAGGCTGGCAGGCAGAGGGCATGCTGCTGGCCGGCCTCCTCAGGCAGGCAGGCAGGCAGGCAGGCAGGGCGTGGCCCCACCTGAGGTCCAGCTTTGTGATGGAGGGCGGCAGCGCCTCCAGCGACTCATCCCTGAGCCGGATGTTCCAGCCCAGGTTCAGTTCGAGCAGGCACGGCAGCTGCAAGATGGGGGGGTGTTGGGAGGGATGCTGGCGTCTCACGGGGTTGGGTATGCTCAGGTGCTCATGGCCCTAAGATGGAACCGTAAAACTCACACACACACACACACACACACACACACACACACAGCCCAGATCCACCTGTGCCAGCTGCCGCACGCCGGCCGCCGTCATCCGCTGGCTCTCGCTGATGTCCAGCATCGTCAGCTGGCGGCAGTGCTGCGCCACGGCGCCCACCACCGCGTCGGTGGTGCCTTCGCACCCGCCTGCGCCAAGCAAGATCACACAGCAGCTGGACGCCTGCTTGGTGGCGGCGCTGCGAATGCCCCGGGGAGGGGGGCGCATCAATGTGCCCCTGCGCCAGGTGCAGACAACCCCACGGCTCCGCCTCCCACCCACCAATGTTCAGCATCTGCAGGTTGGAAAGCTTGGGAAAGATGGCGGCCAGCCCGTCTGCCGTGTGCGACCAGCAGCTGTAGCCCATATCCAGGGCTGTGAGGCTGCCGCTCAGGCGCGCCAGCGACGCCAGCCCCTCATCCGCCACCCCCTCGCCCGCCTCAAACAGCCCCAGGCAGCGCAGCAGCGTCATGCCCTCCGCCACCGCCGCCAGGCAGCCGTCGGTCAGCTGGCAGCAGGCCGACATGAGCAGCGTGCGCAGCGGCAGGCGTGCCAGGTGGCGCAGCCCCGCCTCGCTGCAGGCCGTAGTGCACAGGGTGGGGCCGTGGGTCAAGCGGGACAGGAAGGGCAAAGGGCAGGAGCGGGCGCCGAGCGCAGGCGGGCAGCCACCCCAGGGCGTGCCAAACTCAGCAAGCTGCTTGACTCGACCAGGCACGGGCAGGCAGGTGAGCTGCACCAGCGTGGCACTCACGTGTAGAGCTCGCAGCCGGTGAGGTCCAGCTTGGTGAGGCCGGGGCAGCCCGCTGCCAGCTGCTCCAGCGCGGAGTCGCCCAGCTGGGAGCACATGCTGAGGTCTGCCTCCTCCAGCAGCGCCAGGCTGCCCACAGCCAGCGCCAGCGAGGCGCCGCTGGCAGCGCAGCACTCGCGCAGCGACACGCTGCGCAGGCTGCCGCGCAGCGCGGGCAGGCGCTGCAGCACACCGTCGGGCAGCGGCCCGGCCAAGTCGAGGCGCTGCAGGCGGCGCAGGCGGCCCAGCGACTCGGCGCCCACGAGCGTCAGCGGGCCGCCCAGCTTCAGGCTCTCCAGCAGCGGGGCCTGCCCCGCCAGCTCATCCAGCCAGCTCTCCGACCAGTCTTCCGCCCCGCTGGCATCAACCTCCCGCAGGCCAGGGAAGTCGGCGAGGCGAACCGAGGAGACGCGGCGCAGGGTGAGGCTCCGCACCGCATCGTTGGCGGGCTGGAGGAAGCCCTTGCTGCAGGCAGGGGCAGTGTGGTGGCACGCTTGAGCTCTGGAGGACGTGCAAGCGCCAGGCCGCTGAACCACCAGCACACTGCTGCTACGCGCCACCCTGCCGGCATCTCACCACGCCAAGCGGAGAGCAGGGAGGTCTTGCGGGCAGGCCAACACAAAGGAAGCCGTGAGAAGGGCGTCGGGGAGGGCCAGTATGGCGGCAGCCGGGCCTCGCTCGGGCATGGGCGGCTTGCGGAGAAGCGCCGCGCCGGCAGCGAAGCGGGCGGTCTGACCGTCGGGGAGGGCCGCAACGGCGGCCGCCGAGTCCACCATGGCGTTGTTTTTTGTGCACAGGCAGTGGTGGCAAGCTGAAACACAGCCCAGGCGAGAGAGTCTGGGTTGTAGTCGTCCTGGGAGCACACTCTGCCCCGATAGGCAGGCGCAGGCTATGCTTCCAGGGGGCTGGGAAAGGAGTGATCACGAAGGCTGGAGCTGCGAGAGCCAAGCAAAACCCCGAGCACAAACCAACGGGGTGCTGCCCCCAGCGCAGCCAGCAGTGGCTTGGGTGATCAAGATTCGTGTGGCTGGCCTGGCTCTTCATGAGTTTGTCTCAAACTGCCAGCTGGGCAGGTGGGCACACATGACGCGAGTTGGGGTGAGCATCTTGGGAGCATTTCTGTATTCAGTTAGCTAATAACCTCCTCTGCAGCATTCTAGTTCCCGCTGGCCGGCCGCCTAACTCCCTGCTGGCCGGTACCACATATATGGCGGCTCCCAGCTTTGCTTGCTGCGAGCTGGACACCAAACTCGCGGATGGCCCGCTCCTGTGCAAGTTCGATGATGAGGCTGTAGAGGCCGCGGTGGATCCCGCGGGGCGGGTGTCTTGCACGCCGCCGGCGCCAGACGTGAGCGGCGGCGACAGCGGCCGCCGGTCGCGTGCGGCACACCCTGGACCCCCAGCTGTGCCATTGGCACGACATGCTGCACCTATACGTGATTCCAATTCGTGTTGCAGGTGCTGTTTCAAGATGAGGAGCGGCAGGGTGTGCGCCTACGGGTGACCGCCTCCAGCGCGGCCGCCGAGGCAGCGGCAGAGGCTGCTGGCGAGGCGCCGCCGCTGCACGACGAATACCTGGACCGAGCCGCCTTTGAGGAGCGGCTGGGGCTGGCCAACGGCGGCGCGGGCAGCGCCCAGGCCTCGGCGGGCGGCGGCGAGGGCCCGCCCGCCGCACTGTCGCGGCGCCAGACGCTGGCCGCCCACTACTCTGCGCTCAAGCCCTTTGTCATCATCTCCTTCTCCTACCTCCTCTTCACCACCACCGATGGCGCGGTGCGCATGGTGGTGCTGCTGCACGCCTACTCAAAGGGCTTCTCAGCCATGCAGGTCGCCATCATGTTCAGGTGGGGCCAAATCGCGCCGCAGCCGCCTGCCCATGTGCGGGGCGAGGCAGCCCGTCCTTGCGCGCGAGCCTGCCGCTACCACGCCCCGGCCCACCGGGAAAGCCAGCCAGCGCTGCGCTACCCGCCACCTGCTCCGGTGCCTGGCTAGTGTGCCACTGCACGCCGCCTGCTGCGCCTGCTGTGCTCCCTGCAGCTTCTATGAGCTGGCGGGCGTGGCGACCAACCTGGTGGCGGGGCTGATGGGAGCCAAGTGGGGCATCAAGACGACGCTGCTGACGGGGCTGTCGTTGCAGCTCGTGGGCATAGGCATGCTGTTTGGCTGGCAGGTGCGGCGCCGCGAGGGGCTGCGGCGGTGGCGCGCCACCGGCCTCCCCGGTAGCCCGCAGCGACTCGACGCCGTCATCAGCCGCCTCGGTGGCCGAGCTGAGCGGCGTGGCTGTTGGGCCGGCCTGCCCCCAGGTGCATCCGCGCCACGCACCGCCTGCCTTGCCCCTTCATGCCCCCCGCCGCCCCCTGTCCACCTGGCGCAGGACAGCTGGAGCAAGACGGAGGTGATTGTGTATGTGACCGCAACGCAGCTGATGTGCGGTATAGCCAAGGACCTCACCAAGCTGGGAGGAAAGACGGTGACCAAGCTGGTGACGCCAGGTGGGCTAGCGGGCATGGTGGGCGGCCTGGCGTGCTGGTGGAGGGCGAGTGTGCCTGTGGCGCGCTGGCTGCGTGCGGCCGGCTGGCCGGAGGAGGTGGCGGCTGCGCCAGCCATGCCGCTCTCAACCCCCCGCCCACGTCTGCTGATTCACATGCAGAGGAGAAGCAGGGGCGCCTGTTCCGCCTGGTCAGCGCCATCACCGGGTTCAAGAACAGCCTCAAGGGTGCGGGCTACTTCCTGGGCGCGGCCACCGTGGGAGTCAGGTGAGCCCACACACGCGCCTGGGTGGCCCCGCTCCGCTGCCGCCCCCGCATGCGCTGCCTGCCCCGCCTGCCCTCCCTCCTCTGCTGTTGCCGGGCTCTGGGGCAGCAGCAGTGCACCGAGCCTGCCGTGCCCGCCCCGCTCCCTCCCTCACTCCCAGCTACTACATGGCGCTGGGCATCCTGCTCGGCCTCATCTTTGCCGCCATGCCCTGGGCCATCGTGGGACTGTCTAACCAGCTGGGGCGCGCCCGCAAGGAGAACGTCAAGTTCTCCCAGCTGTTTGAGTGAGCGGGGGCTGCTGAACGGGCTGCCGCTGGCTGCTGCGGCGCTGTTGACGGCCCACCCAATGCCTGCCGTCAGGCCGGCCGGGCCTGTGGTCCAGCCTCATTCATGGCGCGGCAGCCACAGGCGCCTCCATGCGCACCCTCATGCGCGTCTCGCCCCTGCCGCCCGCTCCCCTGCAGCAACAAGCCCAACATCAACATCCTCTCCCTCTCCCGCGTCTTCCTGTTTGGCGCCCGCGACCTGTGGTTCGAGGTGCCCCTCCCCTTCTTCCTGCGCGACCCCGCCAGCGGCATCGGCTGGTCCCGCTCCGCCACAGGCGCCTTCCTGGCGGTGAGCCCGCCGCCGCCGTCCAATGCCATGCCACCGTCCCTGGCCCCTGGTGGCTGGAATGGGGGTGGAATGCGAAGTTCTACCAGGACCCATTCCTAGAAAGAACAGTTTCGCCGTGGAGATGGCTGCGCCGCGCTGCTGGCTTGGGGCTCTGTGCATGCTGGTTTGCGGCCTGCCTGCCCGCTCACCCAGCGCGTTTGCCCGGGCGGGGCGCCGTGCAGGTGTGGATCATCGTGTATGGGCAGATGCAGTCGTGGACGCCGCAGCTGATTCTGGGGCCGCTGAAGCAGTCGCCGCCCAACAAGTGGGTGGCGGCCCTGTGGTGCGGCGTGCTGACCGTCGTGCCGCTGTCACTGGGCATCGTCATGCTGGCGGGAGGTGAGGGCGAAGCGCTGCGCTGCGCTGCATGTTGCGCTGCGCTGGGCATGTCATGCTGTGCTGCAACCAGCCAACATGTGCTGGCTTGAGCAGCTGCTGTGCCGCTGTTGCCTCGCCCACCCAGCGCCCGTGTCGGCCACCAGCATGCCAACCTCATGCTCGCCGCCGGCCCCGCCTCCCACTGCAGACACGTTTGGGCCGGGCGTGCCTCCGGGCCCCGCCATCGCCGCCATCACCGTGGTGCTCTATGCCTTCTGCATCGTGTTTGCCATCAACAGCGCCATCCACTCCTACCTCATCGTGGCGTACGCCGAGGGAGACAAGGCGAGCGTTCGCCCGGCCCGCCGCTGAGCCGCTCCGGGCTGCCTGCTGCCCGGGCGCGGGGGGACGTGTGGCGGCATGCTGTCGACGGCAGGCTCCTCGCGTTGCCCCGCCGCCCATGGACCGTTCCCGGTCAGCCACAGCACCCAAGGCATTGCTGTTTCATTGACGCCGAGTGTGCAATGGTGCTGGCCCTTGCTGCCCTCCTCTCCCGCCGCAGGTGGCCCAGACGGTGGGCGTGTACTACGCATCCAATGCGGTGGGCAGGCTGACGGGCACCCTGGCCTCGGGCGCCCTGTACAGCTACGTGGGCAGCAGCGTCGTGGACGGCTTTGGCACCTGCCTCATGGTGTCTGTCACCTTTGCCGGCATCTCATTCCTGGTCGACTTCTTCCTGCACGAGGAGGCCAACGCGGCGGGCGGTGCGCGGCGCTGCTGTTACAGAAACTGGCCGCCAGCGGGTGGAGCTTGTGCATGTCTCGGGGATGCGCCGCTCAGACTGTTGGAAGGGAAGCCTTCCTCGTCCCACACGCAGCTTGTCGTGCCGTGCAGGGCGGCGGCTGGGGCGGCTGGGCGCCTGCATGCCGGGGGCCAAGCGGGTGTCGGTCGCTGAGCTTGCTCAAGCTGAGGCAGTAAATGAGCCTTCCAAGCCTGGTGTGGAGATGGTGGCTGGCAAGGACGTGGCAGCAGCAGCCGGCAAGTGAGAGCCACCACGCGAGTTGCAGAGATGGGGAGTGAACTTACGGGCGCTTGCAGCAGGCGCCACGTCGCCAGTGGTTTAGTATTGGTGCCCTTTCCCTCAGCTTTGGACATGAGATTTCAACCCTGGCCTTCTGAGAGTTGCCAGGCATGAACGATAAGGAGAATGAATGGAGTTCAGGGGTTGCAGCCTTTCCTGACCCTGGTTCACTTGTCAGTTGATTGAAAGTGGTGGTCAGGGAACCCACAGGCTTCCTAGTGCCTGGTGCTTGTGTTCTGCTGGGCCTGCACCATGCTGCTTGTTGGAAGCACGGTTCCTGCTGGCGGTGGAGCTAGCGACTGCGATAAAGGTGGCGTATGCGAGGGGCAGTGCCAGCGGGCAAAATCCCAGCAGCCCCAAGCAAGCGGCGGCAGCACACTTCCTCTGGCGCCTCACATAATCTAGACTTGCTAGTTGTAGTGAACTGTACACAGTTGGGCAAAGTTGGAAGAGGGGGGCACGGCTGCCGCTGGCGGGGCGGGGAGTGTGAGCGGTGATTGGGGCACCGTGGTCTGCGCCTTCCCTGCGCGATCGTTTTGCTCCATTTACGACGAATTACAAACGCTCACGACTGAATTGCAAACTCATGGGAACTGGGAATCAACCCGCAACACGCCACCACCCTCTGCAACCAGTATTATTTATGCTTGCCGACCTGCATACTGCCTGCTATAAGGACTTGCAGGGTTTATTTTGTTTCAGCGTGAAATGCATGGCGTGGGGGTCTCTCGCTATACGGCGTAAGGGCACCAAAGGGAATTTGGCTGTTTCTTGCTGAAAATGTAAATCATTTCAACCTCCCGATTCCCTCAGCCGAGATGCCGATCAAAGCCGCCCTGAACGGCGCCGGCCGAATTGGTAGGTATTTCGCTGGCCAGCCGGAGCCACTGCGGCTGCCGTTTCCGCTGTCCTGGTGCCGCGATCGCCTGCTTGAGGGCAAGATCGCCGTGCCTTCTCACCACGCCACCTCCCGCCGCCGCCCACCCCCTCCTGCCGCGCCGTGCAGGCCGCCTGGTGCTGCGCCTGGCCTTTGACGAGCGCCAAGACCTGTTCCAGATCGTCCACATCAACGAGCCCAGCCCCATCGAGTCCACCGCCTACCTCATCAAGTATGACTCGGTGCATGGTGAGAAGCAGCCTTGCGTCGCCCTTGGCACATGCATGCATGCATATGCCGCGCCGCCGCTGCCGCCGATGGTGTGACGCGCCCGTAACGCTACGGCCCCTACCCTGTCCTCCAGGCACCTGGGAGCACGAGGTGGAGGCTGTGGATGGCAAGATAGTGATCACCCGTAAGGACGGCAGCCAGGCGGTCATCACGTATTCGGAAGCCAAGAGCCCAGCCGAGGCGAGCAGCCCGCCCGTTGCCTTCCTTTTGCAAGCTGCTTATGGCCTGCGTCCAGCAAGCGCGAGCATTGCAGCACAGCTGCCGCCGCCACCCACTGCTGGACCTTTCCCCCGTGTGCAGCGCTGCCACTCGCAGCCGCGCATCCCATCGCCTGTTGAGCACCGCCGGCACACCCACCCCTTGCCTGCAGGTGGAGTGGGGCAGCCTGGGGGTGCAGGTGGCGCTGGAGTGCTCCGGCAAGTTCCTGAACCGCGAGAAGCTGCAGCCGTTCTTCGACAAGGTGCCTGCCGCCTGCTGGGCGCTGCTGCTGCTGCCGGCGCACTGCTGCTGCGTGTGGCCGCCGCTGCTGCTGCGTGTGGCTGCCCATGTGGCGGCCCAACTGCCCGGCCGGCCCGCTGCAGGAGGCCTCCTGCCCCGCCCAGCCCGCCTGCACGCCACACATGACGCCTGCCAGCCCAGCCACCTGCGCCACCTGGCCTGCCACATCGCGCCTGCCGCCTGCCGCCTGCCGTAGGGCTGCCAGAAGGTGGTGGTGTCGGCGCCGGTCAAGGACCCCAGCCCCGTGCTCAACATTGTGTATGGCATCAATCACGTGAGCCGGGGGGGCTGTGCGTTGTACGGGCAGGGCAGCCAGCTGCGGCGCCTCGCGAGCCTGAGCCCGTCAGCCCTGGCGCCCGCCTGCCTCCCCAAACCACCCCTTCCCTCCTACCACCACCACCCTGTGCAAGCCTGCCCTCACCCACCCACCCATCCCCTTCCCTTCTTTCTTTCTTTTCTTTCTTTCTTCCCCTCCCCTCCTCCTTTCCACCCAGGACCTGTACGACGCCTCCAACGACCACATCGTCACCGCCGCCTCCTGCACCACCAACTGCCTGGCGCCGGTGGTCAAGGTGATCCACAGCAAGCTGGGCATCACCCACGGCTGCATCACGACCGTGCACGATGTGACCAACACACAGGTGGGCGGGAGGCGTGGTGCGGTGTGAGTGCGGATGTGGTGGTTGTAGGGTGAACCAGGTGGTGGGGCAAGATGGCCGAGGCACGCCGCACTAGCCACAGGCCAGCAGGAGTCGAGCCCCCTGCCAGAACACGGGGCCTAGGTCCGCTTGAGTGACCAGCCCACCTGCGCCCGCCCGCCCGCACGCACGCAGACCGTGGTGGACGCGCCCAACAGCAAGAAAAGCGACCTGCGGCGCGCACGCTCCGCGCTGGTCAACCTGGCGCCCACATCCACGGGCAGCGCCACCGCCATCGCCCTCATCTTCCCAGGTGCGGCCCCCGCCCGGCCGGTGCGGCGCGAGGCGTGGATGTTCCCTGGCTCGCGTGCTGACTAGTAGGCCCTGCATGGCGACTGGCACTGCTTGTCCCGGCTGCTTGTCCCGGCCGGGATGGAATGGGCAGCAGCAATCAGCAAGGTTGTGCACCAACACGGCGTTGGCCCCTGCCCTTTGCCTCCCCTGCCCTTTGCCTGCAGACCTCAAGGGCAAGCTCAACGGGCTGGCCATCCGCGTGCCGCTGCTCAACGGCTCCATCACAGACTGCGTGTTTGAGGTCAAGCGCAGCACCACGGCCGAGGAGGTCAATGCGCTCTTCAAGGCACGTTTTTGTCGTTGTTCGTGCGGCATGCTCATGCAGCATGCACATTCCTGGCCAGGGGCAGCGCATTGCGGTGGGGAGGCAGCGGCGGCCGGGGCCGGGGCAGCCTGAGTCCTGGCATGCGCTCCCTGCTGCCGCTCACGTGCCTTGCCTGGTGTGCTGGGATCCCCATGCTCGCTTGCAGGAGGCTTCGGAGACGTACCTGAAGGGCACGCTGGGGTACGAGGTGAAGCCGCTAGTCAGTACGGATTACATCAACGAGCGGCGGCCGGGCGTGGTGGATGCGCTCAGCACTCAGGTCATCGACGGCACGATGGTCAAGGTGTATGCCTGGTGAGTGGAGGAGGGCGGTGTGCGTGCCTGCTGGGGGCTGGGGGTGCGGCTGGGCCAGCCGCTGAGGCCCTGATGAGCTGTGGCTGGCTGATGACGGGGGGCCCACCCCAGACTCTCGTGCTGCGGCAGGGCAGCAGGCCGCATGTGCGCTTGGGGGAGGCTGGCGCACCTGCTTTTCATGTAACCAACCTGCCTCGTCTGAGCTGCCGCCCCACCCTGCCCGCTCGCCTCTGCCTGTCCCGCCGCTGCCCGTACCGCCTGCAGGTACGACAACGAGTACGGCTACTCCTGCCAGCTGGTGGATGTGGCAGCCATGGTGGCCAAGTCCATCTCCTGAGCCCAGCAGAGCGGCATGCGGCGCCGCCGTGGCAGGCGCTCGCCCGGGCCAGCCGACCCTTGCTGCTGCCAACCGTTGCCTAGCTGAAGCATATTTGAAGTTTGCTCAACGCTCATCCATGCATTTATCCAGTTTGGCTAAGTTTTGTGCTCGCTTTTGCAACCCCAGGGCACATGTTAGCCACATTAAGAATTGCTGAAAACTTTCCCCATTATCTCCTCCTGCTACGACCGCGGCTAAGAAAGGCCTTCTTTGAAGGCGCTGGAGCTAGTGTCTAAACCCTCCGAGAGGGCACAGGTTCGATTCCTCCCATGTCGAAACTTTGTGAGGACAAACGCGGCATAGCTGACCGGCTCAGCGCCAATCCAAGCCAATTCCTTCGGGAACGCCTAATAGAATCGCCAAGGCTTCGGCACAGGCCTCCCCGGGACCCATTCACTACTAGTGGGGGGTACTGCACTTGGCGCGTCGGGCAGATCAAATAATGGTCTAAAGCTAGACGTTAAAACCGGGAAGTGAAGCTTGTGGAGGCTCTTCCCCACCTTTACCTTTACCTTTACGACGAGTTATTTGAGGGGCTGCCTATGACTGCAAGGTTGTTGGATGATCACGACTTGCCTGTGCCCTACGCATGGGATCCCCAATCAGGATGTTGCGGTTTTACATTCGAAAGGAGCTGACAACTGATGGGAGCAGGCAGGCGCCACCGAAGCCACGCAGCCCTAACCCCAGCGCGGCACACTTCTTCCCAGCCAGCCTGTTGTCACCATTGCTGTAAGGCACACTCAGTGCAACACACATGGGCTGCCCAACAGTTACACATACGTCTGAGGGATGCAGGCATTGGCATCAAGGCAGCACACACGTGCCAAGCAACAGAGTTGCAGAACAAACAAGACGCAACCGCCAGGAAGGAGGCAACACGGCAGAGGGATGCACACCCCACCTGTTTGCATTGCACCACCGGGGCATGGGTTTTGTCGGTCGGGCCAGACAAACAGAACACACATGCCACAGCAGGAATTTAGAGAGCAAACAGTTGCGCAAGCACGCAGCAGGGCGGTGAATGCAGACAAACGGAGCCCATTGAGCACGGACCAGGTTTTAGCAGCGGCAAACACAAAACGCCATGACGCAGAGCTGGGTAAGGCATGACAGGGCGTGGGTGCAACAAGCAATGCCCAGCTGGGCTAGCAGCCACAGGCGGCGTCAGGGGATAGAGCGCCAAGGAAGCTGGAAAACGAAAGGGCTAAGGGGCAGTCACGCATAATGAGACCAGCTGCAGGAAATTCACTTCGCAAGCTGCAAAAAGGCTCCCACAGGCAGCACCGCTGCCCCAGCTGCACACGTGGCACACAGCATCCAGAGCATTGCGGTGCTGCAGCATCAGGCTGCAGTGCTACCAGGGGCAGGACAGGACAGGCCGAGGCTGCAAGCTGCCTGCCGCAAGCAGGCTCCAAGCACGCAGGGCCGCAGGGCACGTGGCCGCCATGCAGCACTGCCACGGCACGCAGGTGGCTGGCAGACAGCGTGGCCGCCGCACGCAACAATGCAGAGCGCTGGCAGGCTGGCAGGTGGGTCCAAGGCACGGTGGGAGCCGCAGGCAGCCACTGGCAACAAGCGGACGCGCAGCTCAGGCACTGCTGGCCGCCGGTATGCAGGCACACGCACAGCGGCTGCCACCTGGGAGCGCAGAGGCCGCCACCGGCAGGAGGACCCGCTGCCAACACGGGCACCTTACATGCCCGGGGGCTTCTCCCACTGCAAATGGAGCGGCAGGGAGGGACCACGGCCCCGTCAGAGTCGCATGGCATCAAGGGCCGGCCCCACGGCGCACACAACACACACACGCGAGTTGTCCCCCGCGCGCAGCAGAACTGGCAGCAGCAGTACCAGCGGTACCAGCACAACACCAGCTGCACACCTGGGTGACTCCAGTGGCGGGGTTGTAGTAGTAGGGCCGCCCCTGGTCATCATGGAGCTCCTGCCACTGGCCGCCGCCGCCGGCCGCCGCGCCGCCGGCCGCGCCTGCAGCGGCTTGCACGCCGGAGGGGCAGGCAGTCAGTTAAGGGTTGCAGGGCAGAAGGGCCGAGGGAGGAGGGCACGGCAGGCATCGCGCAGCAAAGGGCGCAGGCTGCTGCAGCTGGGCCGGCATGTGCCCGCAGTGGCAGGGGAGGGCAGGGCGGCGCGGCGGCGCACCGTAGCCAGCAGCGCCGGCCGCACCGTAGCCGCCAGAGGCAGCCGCCGCGTACGGGTCAGCTGCGCCGTAGCCGCCGGGTGCGCCGTAGCCGGGTGCGCCGCCGTAGGGCGCGCCGCCGTAGGGAGCAAAGCCGCCGCCATAGGGAGGGAAGCCGCCAAAGGGCGCGCCGTAGGGGCCGCCAAAGCCGGGGCCGCCAAAGCCGGGGCCGGCGGGGCCGCCGTAGGGTGCGCCAAAGGGAGGGGCGCCAAAGCCGCCTGGACCGCCTAAAGCGCACAGCAGCGCAGACCGTCAGGGGGCAGCAAAGTGGGACAGGCAGCAGGCAGCGCGCTGGCAGGTGGAAAGTGGCAGCAGCGGGGCGGGCGACCTCTCACCGGGGTGGAAAGGATCGCCGCCAGCGATGATGTCTTCAATCATGCGCTTCGCCTGCAGGGCAGGGCAGGGCAGGCAGGTAGAGCAGATTGAGCGGCAGGGTGGATGCAACGGCGCATGCAGGCGCCCAGCCATCTGCCGGGGTGCAGGCACAGCGCTGGTTCAATGCACAGCAGCCGCCCCACGCACCTGGTCCGAGCTGGAGGGCTGGCCGGCCAGGGTGACGCGGCAGGGGTCGGTGCTCTGGTCAATCTGGATGGTGGCGCCTGCAGCGGGCAAGGGCGGGGTGGGGTGCGGGGCAGCAGCAGGCACGAGAGAGCATTCAGCACATTGCGGCAATCAGCACAGGCCTCGTTGCTTTCCCTTTGGGGCAGCCCCAGCTGGCCTGCTGTCGCCCACACAAGGCGCGCACGCACCGGTGACGCGCTGCAGCTGCTTGATGGTGTCCCCCTGGCGGCCGATGATGCGGCCCACGATGCCCTTGGGGCAGCTCATCACATGCGTCTTGCCGATGCCTTGCTGCAGGGCGCAGGCGGGGGAGGCGAGGCCGGCAAACTTGAAGCAAGGGGTGGACCGCAACGGCCCGCCTGCCTTCTTTTGCACGCCGAGGCCGCCTGCCGGCGGCGCCGCGCATGAGGTCGCACCTCTGCGCACACGCGCTGGATGATGGCCTGCGCGGACCCCGGCTCCCCGTTGATGAGCTCCCGAATCATCATGGACGCCTTCTGGCAGGCGTCGGGGCGCCCCTGCACGATGATCTTGCGCGGCTGGCCCTCGGGGAAGTTTTGGTCCACCGTGATGTGGGCCTGTGGGGAGGAAAACACGGCGAGTGGTCATGGGCTGCATGGAAACACAGGATAGCAGGGGGGCAGGCAGCAGGCCTGTGCCTGAGGCGTCGCATGCACGGGTGTGCGGCCGGCAGAGGCAGGGCAGAGGCCTCGGCAGGACCGACAACAGAAGGTGGGAGTACGGCTCGGGACACCATCCGGCGGGCAGCGTCAGCGCGCGCCGGCGGCCGCAGCCTCGCCGCGCACCTGGCTGGCCGACTGCAGGGCGCGGATGGTCTCGCCGCCGCGGCCGATGATGCGGCCCACGATGCCGGCGGGGCAGTCGAGCTCCTCCTTGGTCTCCTCATCCTGCAGGATGGTGGCAATCTCGGCCCTGCACCGCGCCACCGCTTCACTGCAGGCGGGGCAAGCAGCAGCAGCGGCAGGGGCGGCCAGGGGAGGGCAGGCAGTGAGAGGGATGGGCTGGGGCCGAGCGGAAAGCCGGCAACAACCCAGGCCGCGGCGGCAGCATCATCCCGGCAGCGGCCTCGGCGGCGCGGCCTGGCCGTGCCCACGAACAGGCCAGCCGGCGGCGCCCTCACGCAGCAGCACAGCACGCCGCAGTGCAGCCCAGGCGCACTCACGCGCTCATGCCGGAGATGGTGACGCGCTTGGTGTCGCCCTCCGCGGCATGGTCCACTTGGATGCGGGTGTCGGTTGAGAGCTGCAGGTTGCGGATCGTCTCGCCCGCCTTGCCGATCAGCTTGCCCACCATGGCGGACGGGATGTCCAGGATCTCCATGGGGCCCTGCAGAGGAAGGAAGAGAGGGACGGGGAGGGGCAGGGAGCGGCGGCGGCGTGAGCGCGCGGGAGCGCAGCGGGCACGCGGCGGGCGACGGGGCGTGTACCGAGCAGGGCGGGGAGGCAAACCCTGCTCCACGGGCCGCGCGGCGCCAGGCAGGGCGCGGCGCCGGCCCTTGGACAATGCGCAGCAACGCAACGCAGGTTCTGGCAGCATCCACTGGACCCGCCGGCTGTTCAGCCTTGGGCGCCTGCCGCGGCTGCCCCCAGGGCCCAGGCAGCCATCACGCACCCCTGGGGCCGGGGGGTCGGCGTCCCCCGCGCCGTTTTGCCCGTCCAGGGCGCCTGCAGAGGCGCGCTTCTTGTCTGGGCCTCCCTCCTCGTCGTCCTCACGGGGCCGCTTGTTGTTGAGCTCCACGTCCGCCTGCGCAAATTGCTGCGGCAGGGGCGGGAGAAAATAGCGCGAGTTAGACCTGCAAGGCGACCTCCAGCAGGAGGTGCCAGAGGGGACACCTTCGGGACACCGCTGGACACCGCCATCGCCGCGCCTGCAGGGCCCTTACGTTGACATGGGATGCCATGAGCCTGGCTGCCACTGCTGCTGCCTGCGCCGCTGCCTGTGCAGCGTCGATGGCGGGCTCCGCCGCGGGAACGGGCTCCTCTGCTGCCGGGGCTGCTGGGGCATTCTCCGCAGGGACTGTGGCCTCATCTACAGGCGCTGCTGGCTCCTGTGCGGCGGGGGCATCGCCGGCTGGAGGCGCCTCCACTGGCGGCTGCTCCTCCTGGGGCACCACTGGTTGCTCTGCGTCGGCCATGGTGAGAAAAATTGACAAAGTGTGAGCCCGGCTGTTGGGGCGAGGATTTTGCCGCCTCCTGCAAACCCCCAGCACGAGCCAGCACGCAGGGGCGGGGATGTCTGTTTCCCAAGCTATTCACGCAGTCCTCGTGCCACCCGGTCCCCACCTGCAACCCTTGCGATCGTGGGCTTGTGATCGGGGAGTGTCGGCTCCGTCAGGCGGACCGGTCTGCCGCTATGGCCTCGGCCCTCGCTCCTGCGGCTCCCTTGCTTGCCCGCAGCCCCTCGGCAGCCAGGAAGCTAGCTCCCAGCCGTGCCCCGCCCGCCAGAACAGCCGTGCTGACGGTGAGGGTGCTGCCGCCAACGGCGCGCCACCCCGCCTGCCTCCTCTCTCCCCTTGGTAATGCCATCTGCTCAGCCATAGCTGCAGCGCTGACTGTCTGCACTCCCGTCATGCGTGCAGAGGGCACGGCACGGCCCGCGGCGGCGCTGGTGGAGCGAGAGCTGGGAAGCGGACGATGCTGGCGCCGAGGGCTGGGGCCTCGACGGCCCTCTGGCGCCGGGCAGCAGCGATGCCCCCATTTTTGTGGACCAGATCACCACCTTCTTCTGCTCCGACGGCTCGGTTGTGCAGCTGGGCGCCACGCCCCACCTGCTGCAGCAGCTGGAGCGGCGCGGCGCGCAGCGGCGCAGCGAGGGCGACACGCTGCCGCTGCCGGGCGAGCAGGGGCTGTGCATCGGCTCCGTGTTCCGCATCAGCGCCACCAACGGCATCGAGCCAAGCCGCCGCGTCAACCTGGCCGGCTTCTGCTTCTCAACGGAGCAGCTGTATGAGCGGGTGGAGGACACGGTGCTGGCGCGGGGCGGCGAGGTGTTTGAGACGCAGCGGCTGCTCAAGAGGTGCGGGGGCCTGGATGGGCCCAGCAGGGCGCCGTGCCACCTGCGCCTGGCCCCCTGGAACGGCCCGCCTGCCCTGCTGCGGCCCCATGGCAGCTCGTGCCTGCCACGGCACCGGCAGCCCTGCCCGCTGCTGCCGCAGCGAGCTCCTGTCGCGCTTGCTCTCTCCCGCCGGCTGGCTCACTCCCCGCCCGACCGTTTGCCCTGCCTTCTCTTTCCCCACGCACAGCGGCGTGCATGAGGCGCTGGTCATGACTGTGGCCATCCCGCTGCTGTGGGGCGTGCCGCCAGAGTATGAGCGGCTCAAGGCAGGCATCAAGACGGGCGGCGGCATCATCGACAAAATCGAGCGGCAGTGGGTCATCTACTGAGCCACACCCAAAGGACCCGTGCTGCCCAGGCGTGCCGCGAGCGAGCCGCATGCAGCAAGCTGCCCGCACCAGGCAAAGCGCGGCGTGACCGTGTGGGGGCGCCGCACCCCATCCTGACCCCCCTTCCCCGCCGGCTTGTGTACCAACTTCGATCCTATCCAGCTATGAACTCCCCCCCGCTCCATGCCCGGCACTGTTCTTTCATTCTGGTGCACGGCTTTGCCGCGGCGTTGTACTGCTGTACTCAACACCACCCGTGTGCGCCTCGCCAGGCTGGCAGGCGCCCCAGTGCCCTCTCCTCTGCCACTTTTCATGCTGTGCCTTTCATGTACCCTGCCCCACTCCGTTGTACCATAGGTACCTTACCGCTGTACCATACCGCCTCTTTGCAGGCGGCCGCGCCCTGGATTCTTTCGCCACTCTGGCACACGCTTTGGCCCGCCCTCACTGCTATTCACCTCTCCCGTATGCTCGTGTTGCATGCAGAGTGTATTCCCAAAATGTGAGCAAGCTACGTTTCAGCATATGCAAATGCAGGCAGAGGAGGGGTATGTGTGCCGTGGGCTCATGTGTTGTGGCCTGGCACAGAGCTTGAAAATTGGCCGAGTGGAGCGCTGGGTCAGGAGGCAAAACAGCAGCCAAGAGGGCGTGCTGGGGGTGGGGGGTGCGTGCAGTGGGCATTGTGGATGGATGCGCACAAGTCGTGTCAGTATGTTGGTCCCAAAGAAATAACCCGAGGAAAGAAAACAAGAAGGGGAGGCCAGAAAGGGAGGCCAGGCAGATTGTGTGTGCATGTTATATACATTCTTTGCAGGTGTGGGGGTGGTGTTGTACATGGGTCGAGGCCGCCGTAGGGCCGAAATGAAAGGCTGGGGCAGGACAGAGCTGCATGGGGAATGGTGCAGAAGGAACAAACCGGGAAGTGGCAGACTGTGCACTAAGGCAGGCCTGTGCAAGGACGCAGGCTTGACATTGGAAAGCACAGGATCGTGGGACACAGGTGGGAAACAGGGCGGGGAACCGGAGGAGGCACGGCACAGTGAGAAGCATGCGCTGCTGATCTTCATCAACGCATTGGACACACAATGAGCGTGTAGTACAAAAGAATGGATTGACAGGGGAGGCGGGGGGGTGTTGAGTTTTTGACAGCCTGGCCCAGGCAAAGCGGCGTGGTTTGCCGCATCACTGCACTGGCGACGGCTGCAGCGCCAGGATGCGGCGAGCATGCCTGGGGCTCGCCAGCGGCGGCGCCAGCTGCTGCTGCTGGGCATGAGGCACAGGCGCCAGCAGCGCCCCGGGCGCATCTGCTGCCAGCCCTGCCGCAGCCGCAAGCGGTGAGGGAGCGGCGGCTGGCGGCAGCGCTGCATCAGGCTGCTGCTGCACCCACTGCTGCGATGGAGGCGGCTGAGTCGTTGCAGGAATGGTGGAGGGCTGGGGGGG